GCCATCAATATTGGGAGATGCGATTCAAACTCAAATATACCTTTAAACAAGTCTTTCTACAACGTATTGTCTCTCACAGAAAAGGTCAAGTATTATCTAACAGAAATATGATGCAAGCCACATATGCAGTTTCGAATTTTCTATTAGCCACATTAATAATAATAAAAAGAGGCCGAGCATGGTATCTCACATCTGTAATCCCAGCACTTTGGGGGTAGTGAGGCAGGGGGATGGCTTGAGCCTAGGAGTTACAGACCAGCCTGAGCAAGATGGTGAGACCCCCATTTCTACAAAAATAATAATAGAAAAAAACAGGTAAAATTAATTTCAATAATATATTTTATTTAATCCAACGTTTCTACATTACCACTTCAATATGTTTCAATATAAATTGTTAATGTAATATTTTATGTTCTTGGGTAAGTGTATGCATAGTCTTTGAAATCCAGTGTGTATTTTACACTTACAGCACAACTTAATTCAGACTGGATACATGTCAAGTGCTCAATAGCTCCATGTGGCTAGTGGCTACTTTACTGGGCAATGCTGGTCTAGAATGTCTTGCATATTAACCTCATTACAAAACTGACAAGTCATTACAGGAATCATTTAATAGAGACAATGAATTCAATGTTAATTTACCTAGACTTTTGCCAAAGACAGATAAAAAAGAAAACTGCATATTCTGTTACAAAGTTAACAGGTTTAGGTAGCCCCAATTCTGCCAAACTGACTCATCACCTACTAACTCAGAGAATTTATACAGTTGACCCTTGAACAATGTGAGGAATTAAGAGTGTCTACCCACTGCACAGTCAAAATTCCAGGAAAACTTTTGACTTTCCAAAAACTTAACTGCTAATAGCCTACTATTGGCTGGAAGCTTTACTGATAATATAAACAGTGGATCAATATATATTTTCTATGTTGTATTATATATTGTTTTCTTGCAATAAACTAAAAAAACGAAAATGTTATTAAAAAAATCATAAGGAGGCCGGGTGCAGTGGCTCACGACTGTAATCTCACCACTTCGGGAGGCTGAGGTGGGCAGATCATGAGGTCAAAATATCAAGACCATCCTCGCCAACATGGTGAAACCCCATTTCTACTAAAAATACAAAAATTAGCTGGGTGTGGTAGCGCACACCTATAGTCCCAGTTACTTGGGAGGCTGAGGCAGGAGAATCTCTTGAATCCGGGAGGCGGAGGTTGCAGTGAGCCGAGATCGCACCACTGCACTCCAGCCTAGTGACAGAGTGAGACTCCGTCTCAAAAAAAAAAAAAAAAAAAACCATAAGGAAGAAAAATATATTTACGTTCATTACGTAGAAATGGATCATCATAAAGGTCTTCATCCTTTTCAGGATAAGGAGAAAGAGGAGGCATTGGTTTTGCTCTCTCAGGGGTGGCAGGGGCAGAAAAAAAAATTCTTGTATAAGTGAAACTGCACAGTTCAAAGCCTTGTTCAATGGTCAACTATAATTTCAACTGGGCACAAAATAGGGCATACATGTAATACTTAGAACAGTCATGTGAAGAAGTCCTCAGAAAACATCCATATTATTTGAAAACAAAGATTTTTTTAAAGTTGGAGGAGAAGGGATGCTTTTATTTTAACCAATAGGGGGATGTAAAACAACAGCATAATTTTAACTGCAGGCCAGAATTAATTTGCCAAACATAAATAACTCAAACATACATAATTCCTACTGGAATGAATGACTTGTAAATTTTACACCAAACTTAATATGATGATCTATTAAGAAGGTAACATAAAAAAAAAGAAAAAGTCTAAAACCAAATTAGATACTTTGCCCCTAACAATTCTGAAGGAAAAAAAAAAGTGACAAGTAAAACTTAAAAATATACAAAGCGGTTTAGGGATTATCAATGAATTTAAATCTTGACCCATTCAAATAAGTGAAAAATAAATACAACTAAAAATGAAGTAATATTGTACCATTTATAATTTGTAACAACTCCAAATATTCATACTCCCACTTTTCAAGTCAGTCACAAGATCAAAGTCGAGTTTTTTCAGGTAATAGATTCAAGCAAGCGATTATCTTTAATCAAAGAAAAAAAAAGAGCATGTAACATCAATATAAGTACATATAAAAACAAAGACAAATATCAATTATAAATATTTGAAGACTTACTGTATTTTTCCAATTATTAACAGCTAATGTAAGATTTTTACCATTTATTCAAAATACACAAAACAGGAAATGTTCTACATGAAAGCACTTAGTAACAGAAAAAAATACTTGAAATGTTCCCACTTTTAGTATACAACTCAAAAAAAAAAATTATATATACATAAAAGGAGTAGATAAATCTAAATGTGAGTTAGCAGACGCATCTTAGTATTTTTTATGAACCAGTCCCAAATTGAGATATGTAACTAAATGCCCTAATCATCGCCTGCTAAAAATTAGCTGAGAAAAAGAATAGGTCATACTTGGAAACTTCAGACAAAACTCATTTCAACTAAATGGGGTCTGATACTTTATTTTAAAGAATCACTTCCCTTTAAGACGTTACTATGTGGCAATCTACTTACTGCCTTCACAATCTTTATACTAGCGCATTAAACCCTTTAATTTTTCTCAAAACAACAAAAAAGTGGGCTTTGCATTTTATTTCAAAACATGAGATGTAAAAGTGAACAAATACTGTCTTTTAATCATATCACACACAGATGTTTCTTAGCCAGCAACGATTTCATAAATAAGGAAGCTCTTTGGTAAATTATCTGTGTGACCTTGGTCAAGTCAAAAGACCCCCAGTCTTTTGTTATCTCATCCTACTGTATAATTCTGTAATTCTAAGTTCTAAATGCTTTAATTAGCAGTCAGTTAACAACACTTTGGATTTGAATTAACCCAAAAGGTCATACGCCACAAAAACTAAACACAGTCCATAAGTAAGCACAGGTGGTTGTAGCCAAGTGTTACATAAATTGGTTTCTATATCTACAAAGATGTTGTTCCACAAATTCAGATTCCTCAGGCACAAGGCAACCAGATAAGAGAATGGAAAAGGCTCAGTACCTTCTGTTACTAACACGGGAGAAAAATACGCATTCGAATTCCCAACTGTCAGAGCTGTTAGATGTTTCCTGGTAGTATATGGTTAACATATAAAATAATACTCTTTAAACAGATCGATATTGTGAAAACAACATATTTAATATCCTTTTCTTCTTTTAACTCAAAATATCGTTTTGGATCCTTTTTAAAAAAAGTCTGTTCCTTTCCTCTGACAATTTTAAGTTGATGGAGACTGAAACAAAACACTTTGTAAGTTGACATCTCCTTTTAAAAAAAGTTAATTTTTTCTTTCTCTTGTCTAAAAGACCAGCTATTTGGAGAAAGTTTTCCTGATGATTATAATTCTACCAAGTTTTGAACAACCAGCGAAGAAAAAAAAATATTTAAATGTATTTCCATTCTGCCCACATGACACACTGGCCCATTTGAGACATAAATTCTAAATGAAAGATTGGACTGAACAACATCCTCCACTTTAAGATATACAAGGCACCAAAACAAACACATCCAAAATCTATTTTTAGAGTGGTGTTTCACTCTTCCGGTTTTCTCTTTAAAACGAGATTTACTTGACCTATTTTCAAGTGTTTTTAGGGCACCCAGGCACTCTATACAAACAATACTTGCTAGTCATAAAACAGCAAAGCAAAAATCACAAATCCTGGTATTAGTGTGGGACATTTTCTCCATGTGTCCTTACGTGCCATGTCTTTTAAAAGTCTAAATATAGATTCACTGACTAAAATGTCCTAAGTCTTCCAAATTCTATAATTATATACTGGATTGAATGCCATCATACGTTCACATCCCATTTGAAAAGTACACACACGGGGTGGGGGTGATGCGCCCAGTACCTGAAACGTCAATCATACAAAGAACAAAGCGTTCCCTATCTTTGGGCTTTCTTCTCACCTCAGTTCTACATTGTTTCAATATTACAAAAATATTAAACAAAATGTTCAAAACTTGAGATATAAGTGCTCACTAAAATGGCACTTGTAGAAAATAAATTAAAACGTATACCAAAATGATTAACGATAAAAAATTCTAGTTGCCAGGATGTGTGTGTAAACTTACAGTCCTGTAGGTTTTACCTGTGGAGAGGACGGTTCCTTCTCCACACTCTTAAAAACAATTTTACATTCTTTAGAAGCCTTCGCAAAATAAATAGCGACAACAATGGAAGACCGACACTCCTCTCATGGGATGGAGGGTAGGAAGAGAACTCCCCACCCAACAAACAGAACAAAGCAACAGTCTCAGCTTTCAAGATGCACAGAGGGTTTGGAGGCTCAAGGGATACTGTGAGATCTCTTAATTGTCCCGATGCTTCAACAGCCGTCAAAACAACTAACAATATGCAGCGCTGGGCTTCACTAGAACAAGGTGCAGGGATTGCTCTCTTCGTATTAGCCAAGACCAAGACACCGAGGAGGAGGAAAAAAAGGAGGAAGAGAGAGAAGAGAAAGCAGCAGCCAGAGACACTCCGGGAAAAGACAAAAATGCAGACTCTACGCCCTGGCTTCGATCTGACCCAAGGCCTAAACTGTCTGACCCCACACGGGAAACAGGGAGCAGGCTACTGTCGAAAAACCATCGCCGCCCCTACACCTTGAGGCCAGGAGGTCCCCGGGTAAAGGCCTGAAACCACGGCCCAGGGGGAGGAGAGGGACCCGCCTGCCACCCGAGGCAGCGACGCGGGCTCAGGCGGAAGAGGCTGCGCAGTAATGGCCGCTGCTCCGCCCCTCGCACCCGGACCGAGACCAGCTCCGGCCGTCACCTAGGGCAGGGGCTGCGGGGCCCTCGGGCAGCGCATGGGCTGTCACGGTCGTCTTGCCTGCCCCAGCAGCCAAGGCGGGGGTGGTGGAAAGGGCTGAGCTGTCCCATCCCGCCTCTGCGCGGACAGCCGGGGCCGCGCCAGCCCAAGGGCGTCCATCTACGTACCGGCCCCTGACCCCGCCGCCGCCCCTCTCAGGCCCCGAGCGCAAGGCCGACCCGGAGTACGTTGCGGCTGGAGGTGACACCGCGAGGTATGCCTCCTCTCCCCGAGTGAGGATCCTGGAGTGGCCGGGTTCACCCTGCTCCCCCGAGAGGGCCTCGCTCCGACTCCCACCTCTCCGGCCACAGCTGCGGCCACCTCGCAGTCTTTTCTCTCTGGCCTCGGAGCCCGCAGCGGCCGGGAACGCGCGCGGCCGTCACGTGACCACTCGGCGCGTCACGGAGGCGGGGCCGCGCGGGGCGGAAGCCGTGCCGCGCACCCGCGAGCTGGCTCCGGCGTCTCCTTTTTCTGTCCGTGCATCGCTTCGCTGCCTTCCCGCACTCTCTTGCTTGTGGGGACCGGCGACTTCCCTGCTTGGATTCTTCTGGCTGCTTTAGAGTGTGCTTTGGTTGTATTAGGGCCCAGAGCCACTGAAAGAATGCAGTTCCAGCAGAGAGAGGTTTGGGGTGGAGGAAGTAAAACGTGTGTAGGCCCGGCAGGTGGTGCTGCTCAAAAATCCAGCTTTGCTATCCCGAGGAAGCCCTGGGGCGCCTAGCTGAGTTTCGGCTTGAAGATCCCTTAGCAAAAGTACTGCTTGTTCCACTTCAAGAAAAAAAAAAAAAGGAGGGTCGTGGGCGGGGATGGAGGGGAGAGAGTACTTTAGGACTTTCCAATGTATTCACCTTTTTAATGGTTGAGCAATTTAATACGGGAAAAAATTGGTATTTTATTTTGAGCCCTCCCCTTTTTAAAAAAACAGAATAGTGCCTGAGAAACTGAAGAAAGAAATTAATCTGCGTGAGAATCTAAAATTAAATAGGTTATTTTGGTCGCAAGCCTGTGGTTTTAAACATCAGACCTCTAGCAGTAATTCACCGTTTTAGCATGTACGTTTCCTTTTTCAGAACTGATAAAATTTTCCTAATGTGTAGGAAAATGAAGAGGGTGGAAGAGCAGACCTTTTATCTTTAAAAGAGTATGTATTTCAACATTCTGTGACAGTGTCTTCTCGCATTTTGGGATTTCATTAACTGATTCAGGATTGGAAGTTTTCAGTGCCCTTATAGGTATAGAAATGTATATGTTTTCTGTTATTCCCCTGAAATCAGTTTATTTCAGGGTTTTTATTCACATATATTAATATGTCAACCAATCTCTTGAAGGGTGCATCTAGTTCAGTGATGCTTGTGCATGTATGCAATACTGTTTTTCTTATAAGTTCTATACATGTAGAAATATTGAAGTGTATATCCTTTAAGCTTAGTTTTCTATCTTTATCTTCTTATTAGCCACTCAGTTTTGTCCCTGTATCCTACACAGCCCAAGAACAGAGAATCGCTAAAATTTGATATGTACTCGAAGATTCCAGCTTAAAGAGGTAATGCTAGTATTAACTAACGATGTACCGGGTGTTTCTCTAAGTGCTTTATTCATATATACCCATTTAATTCTCCTAATAAACTATGAGGTAGACACTATTATTCTTCCCATTTTACAGAGAGAGACACACAGCTAAGATTTGAATCCAGGCACAGACTGTAAGATGTCAACTAGTTCCACCTCTTCTCACTCATACCCAGGGTCTTTGTATTTCAAATGGCTGCATTTTTCCTTGTTCAAACCCATCTTTAATTCATCTCTTTTATGTCTTATATACATTGGCATATAATCTGTTGGCTCTTCCTTCAGAGTATATCCAGAATCCAACTGCTTACCACCTCCACTACAATCTGCATTATCACTTGTTTGGATTATAGTATTATGGTAGACCAAGAACTAGTCTTTTCTTTGACTCTGTTCTCAATACAGAATCCAAAATTACTTAAAAAGAAGTGAGATCATATCACTCCCTTACTCAAAGTCTCCTATGGCTTCCCAACACAAGTAGAAACCAAAGTCCTAACAATGACTTTAAAATCCTCCCCTCATTACATCTTTGACCCCACAGACTGTTTACCCAGCTTTGTATTCCCAGAAAGCTCTCCACAGGCTCCCAACCTCATAGTCTTTGCAGTTGCGGTTTCCTCTGCTTAGAACACTCTTCCCCGTCATGCTCCCTCCATATGTGCTCAGATGTCCAACTCTTCAGTCAGTCCTTCTACTTGTCACCACATTTTAAATCATGACATTTCCCATTCCCGATATTTCATATTTCCTCCTTTACTTTTTAATACTTATCACAATGTAATGGATAATTTATTTTACTTACTAATCTTCATCATATGTCTCTCCACATTAGGATGCAAGACTTGGGAGGCCAGGAATGTGTGTTCTATTTTGTATCTCAACTGCCAGGAATAGTGCCTGACCCATTTAAAGAGGTTCTCTGTAAATATGTGTTACATGAGTGAATGAATGAATGAATGAATGAATACACGCATGGCCGGGCACGGTGGCTCACGTCTGTAATCCCAGCACTTTGGGAGGCCGAGGTGGGCGGATCACGAGGTCAGGAGATCCAAGACCATTGGGGCTAACACAGTGAAACCTTGTCTCTACTAAAAATACAAAAAAATTAGCCAGGCATCGTGGCACACGCCTGTAATCCCACCTACCCGGGAGGCTGAGGCAGGAGAATCGCTTGAACCTAGGAGGCGGAAATTGCCTGAGATCATGCCACTGTACTCCAGCCTTCACTGCAACAGAGCGAGACTCTGTCTCAAAATAAAAAACCACATTCATGTATGTGACTGTGTTTATATATACACATACATATGTATATACTTATGTATACACATATGTATACATATATACATGATACTTATGTGTATGTACATATATATGTATATACGTATATACTTATATGTATATACTTATATGTACATATATATACACTTATGTGTGTATATATACATATACACACTTTTTATGTATATTAATAAAAGTGAACTCATTATTTTTCAGTAGTTGCATATGAAGAGCAGAATTGAATGCATGGAATACTATACACCCTACCTCTATCAGCCACTTGAAAGAAAGATAGTGAGAAGTTTATATCTTTGAATAATACAGGACAGCACCTCTCAACATTGTCAGAGCGCTGGTTTCCAGTAATTAAGAGTAACTGGTTTCCAGTAATTTTAAGTACCAAAACTTCAGATTATTTGCTTAAAGAAATAAATCCGAGCCTAACAGTTTCAATATATTTCTGTAACAATGTTACTATAACTGGGATTCCATTTCGCTTCATTCAATCAAAGGTAAAGAAGTTGCAGCTGACTGCTAGGAATTACCCAGTGGCCTGTTTGATTATAGCTCATTGTCTATTTCCCACAACTTGCAAAATGCTTTCCTGAATACTACACATCTCCAAGCGCCTACTCTTCTCCACATATCCTTCCAACACTCAAAAGTGTCCAATGTTGTTTGTTTTACTTAAGGATCAAAGCATTTTTTTTGTTTACTTAATATTCTAAGACATCCATGAAAATGCATTTCATGAGAAAATGATGTGTTACAATAGAATGTATGTTGAAACCATTGATGTGGCTAATTTAGGGTGGCGGTGTTCAAAGTGTTATCTAGTGACCTGTATGGGTCTTGTGACTCTTGTGGAGTGTCTGATAGTAAATTGTTCTTATAATACTACTAAGACTCTAGTTACTTTACTTGCACTCTCTCAAATGTACAGTGGAGTTTTCCAGAAGCTACATGATATGTGATATAACAATAGATTGATTACAGAAGCAGATATGAGAATTTGGCTGTATCTATTAAACCAGTCATTAAAACGATGTACAAAAAATGTAAAACTCATTCAGTTAGCTTTGTTTTGGAAAATGTAGGGTTTTTTTTTTTTTAAAGTATGGTAATACTTAATGGGTCTTATTTTTAAATGAACTAGTACATATTGTAAACCATTCTCAGTTTCAACTTTTAATTTGGTAAATATTGGTTAACTCATAAACAAAAGTTCTTTGGGGTCTTCTATAACTTAACACTGCATGTGCCACGTTGGTTTCCCGCACCCATTAACTCATCATTTACATTAGGTATTTCTCCTAATGCTATCCCTCCCCCCACCCCACAACAGGCCCTGGTGTGTGATGTTCCCTGTCCTGTGTCCAAGTGTTCTCATTGTTCATTCCCACCAATGAGTGAGAACATGCGGTGTTTGGTTTTCTGTCCTTGTGATAGTTTGCACAGAATAATGGTTTCCAGCTTCATCCATGTCCCTACAAAGGACATAAACTCATCCTTTTTTAAGACTGCATAGTATCCCATGGTGTATATGTGCCACATTTTCTTAATCCAGACTATCATTGATGGACATTTGGGTTAGTTCCAAGTCTTTGCTATTGTGAATAGTGCCACAATAAACATATGTGTGCATGCGTCTTTATAGTAACATGATTTATAATCCTTTGGGTATATAGCCAGTAATGGGATTGCTGGGTCAATGGTATTTCTAGTTCTAGATCTTTGAGGAATCGCCACACTCTCTTCCACAATGGCTGAACTAGTTTACACCAAACTGACAGTATAAAAGCATTCCTGTTTCTCCACATCTTCTCCAGCATCTGTTGTTTCCTAAATTTTTAATGATCACCATTCTTACTGGTGTGAGATGGTATCTCATTGTGGTTTGGATTTGCATTTCTCTGATGACCAGCGATGATGAGCATTTTCTCATGTGTCTGTTGGCTGCATAAATGCCTTCTTTTGAGAAGTATCTGGTCATATCTTTTGCCCACTTTTTGATGGGGTTGTTTGTTTTTTTCTTGTAAATTTGTTTTAAGTTCCTTATAGATTCTGGATATTAGCCCTTTGTCAGATGGGTAGATTGCAAACATTTTCTCCCATTGTGTAGATTGCCTGTTCACTCTGATGGTAGTTTCTTTTTCTGTGCAGAAGCTCTTTAGTTTAATTAGATCCCACTTATCAATTTTGGCTTTTGTTGCCATTGCTTTTGGTGTGTTAGTCATGAAGTCCTTGCCAATGCCTATGTCCTGGATGATATTGCCTAGGTTTTCTTCTAAGGTTTTATGGTTTTAGGTTTAACAGTTAAGTCTTTAATCTATCTTGAATTAATTTTTGTATAAGGCGTAAGGAAGGAATCCAGTTTCAACTTTCTACGTGTGTCTAGCCAGTTTTCCCAACACCATTTATTGAATAGGAATCTTTTCCCCATTTCTTGTTTTTTGTCAGGTTTGTCAAAGATCAGATGGTTGTAGATGTGTGGTGTTATTTCTGAGGCCTCTGTTCTGTTCCATTGGTTTATATCTCTGTTTTGGTACCAGTACCATGCAGTTTTGATTACTGTAGCCTTGTAGTATAGTTTGAAGTCAGGTACGTGATGCCTCCAGCTTTGTTCTTTT